GTTATGATCTAACATATGGGTGCTGGGAAACGAACCTGGATATTCCAGGAGAGCAGCAAGTGCTCTTAATTACTGAGCCATATTCCCAGCCCCCAAATCATTAAAAGAAATGGAGACAATTGGAAGTATTTGAATACTGATAGCTGATAATATTAAGGAACTTTCTCAATATTTTGATATATAAAAATTGTATCTCAAATGTATTTCACACACAAAACAAAACAAAACACCTGTCTTGCCGCGCGGTAGTGGTGCACGCCTTTAATCCCAGCACTCGGGAGGCAGAGCCAGGCAGATCTCTGTGAGTTTAGGCCAGCCTGGTCTACAGAGGGAGTTCCAGGCAGGCACCAAAACTACACAGAGAAACCCTGTCTCAAAAAACCAAAACAAAAACAAAAACAAAAAAAAAGACCCAAACAGCAACAACAACAAAAACCAAACAAACAAACAAAAAAGCCCACCTTGTCTTTTGGAGATGTAGTTACAAATATAAATGGAATTATATGATAATTGAGACTTGCTTCAGAATAATCTGAACATGGCCAGAAAGAAGACAGAGGCAGGGGGTCCAAAGTTGATTGTAAATGATAGATTGTAGGTAAATATTAGTTTACTTGTCAATTCTGTCTATTTTTACACACACATGACATTTTTCTATAATTAAAAGTGCAATGTGAACCAGACCTGCAATCCAGCTATCCAAAAAGCTAGTGCAAGGTCATCTTGGGCTATAGAGTCTATTCAAGGCTAGCCCGGGCTAGCCTGGGCAAATGGTGAGATCCTGTCTTAAAATAAGAAGTGAAAAAAGGGCTGGGAAAATAGTTGAGTAGTAACAAATATGCTTATCATGTGTGAGGGTCAAGGTTCAATTCCTAGCAACACACACACACACACACACACACACACACACACACACACACACACACACAATCACACACACACACACAATCAGAAAAACAATTACTTCAGTTGTATGCCATGAAATAAGCATAATTTGAATAGGCTTTGCCCAAAAGAGTGCTTAGCTCTAAATGCTGTTGGCTTTAAGGTGAGGCAGGGAAAGGCATGGTGATCTGGGTGAAGGAGAACATGGCCCGAGACACAGAGAAGCACAGTACTAAATGCAGCATAGTCTCTGGGAAAGCTGGATGGACTTGACCGGAGGAAAAGAGGCGAGTGCTCTGGCTTGATTGGCTTATGGTGGCATACGGTGGGCACTGATGACACCAGCCTAAGCAGTGTGCGTGTGCAATGAGCTGGTAGGGGCCAGCGTGCCTGTTGTCTTATTAGCAGGGCTGGCTGACCGGGACCGGAATCCATGCTGAATGTGCTGGAGGCAAAACAAACATGGTTGAGCTGATGCTCTTCCAAGGATCTCCTTTCTTCTTTACAAGACGAAGGAGGCTCTGGGTCTGGCCAGTGGGACCTTCCCTACTTAGTCATGTTCATTTACCAACGAGCCAGAACTTGAAGGCTCAGAAATGATGACTAGCATAACTTCCCTTGGGCCCATTTTCCTGCTGATAAGACTCAGTTGCTTGGCCAACCCTCTCCAGGAAAATGGGACCAGAGCCAGGGTGGCCCTGAAGCCGGGTTCTCTCCAGTCTACTCTAGTGCTTGATGCTACCTATCCCACTGCATTCTCAGTTGTGTTTCCCATGCTGCTTGTACTTCTCCCTCTGGGAAGGAAGATAGCACTACATTCACTTGACAGGTAAGGAAACTGAGAAAGTGAAGACATCATTTGCTTAATGGCCACAAACTCATAATCCTCCTGCTTCCGTTTCACATGTACTGGGATTACAGGCCTGTCTCACCTCACCTAGGGATACTCTGGTTTCAAGCTCAGTTTCTCTCTGTAACTTCCCTGCACCCCACTCCCACCCCCACCCTCAGGATATCAGGGATCCTTTTTTCTGGGATGAACCAAATAATAATAGGCTGTTATGTGGTTGGTACTCAGCTGGGTGGGTGTTCTCCATGCAACAAATGTTTTCAATCCTTTCCATGGTCTCATAAAGTAGGCACCAGCATCTTTTCCATTTTGTAGATGGGAAATCGAAGCACTGAGTGTTGTTGAGTTCAGAAAATAAGAACTCAATATATAAAGCCTAGACTAAATTTCTTGGGCTACTTCTTCCTGCTTAGTTGAGACAGGTTTTAGAATTCACCCAAATGAAGGTCTGGGAATAAGCAGGAAAAGGACTTCCATTACCGGCACACTAAAGTCTCTACACTGGGGTCCTTCCTTTGGTTGTAGCATTCATGAAGCATTTACAATATGGTAGGCTAAACACATTTTAATTAATCAGATATCCATAATAGTCCTGTAATAATTATTCCCACCATATCAGTGGGGAAACTGAGGCATCAGCTAGCCAATACATAGAGCTAATGAAACAGAGAGCTAAGGGTCAACCCAGCCAGTCCAGTACCTGAGTCCATGATCTTGATTGAAACATTGCCCCATGGCCAAGCCCTGCACTTGCATACCACTTGCCCTAGATGGTTTGCGCTGACTTGGATTCCAATCTCATGAGGGCAAATTATGAAGACCAAAATGACTGGGGACTAATTTGATTTAACTTAAACTCTAAGGCAAGTACTACGGAGTTGCTCAATTCAGCTTGAGTCAGAAATGCATGGTAAGGACTGATTGTGCCTCTTCAGTTGCATTCAGAGCAGAATTAATGCATGTAGGGGATAGATCAATCCCCTGCAGCACTTGGCATGTGAGAGTTTAGTGCTTAGTAACTCTTAATATCCTTTTTGGACTCTACTCTGTTCACTTCTTTTGCCTTCTACCTTGAACCTGCAGCCCGCTGCATACCACCTCTCCGCGTGGCTAACTTCTTCAGTGCTCTACTCCACTCAGTTCACGATATGATGCACTCTTTGTCTCCACACTCCAAGTTCTCTAGCCTTCCTGTGATTTGCTTTGGCCAATGAAATGTGAGCCAAAGTGGTGGGGGTCAATTCCAGATGGGGTTGTTAAAAGCCATTATGAACCCTGCCTATAACTCCAGCAATGGGCCAAATGCTATCTGTTTTCTCTCTTGGGTCCTAGAATGAGGCAATCCCGTGCAGAGGTCTCAGACTACCCACAAGAGACATGTAAAATAAGTTTAAAATCTTCATTGTTGTGGCATGTGGAATTGTTTCTTTTGACGGTATATACCAGTCTAATGAATGGATATTTTATAAGCTTCTCTGCTATGGTCTGAGAGTGAAATGTTCCCTTACAGGCGTATGTTTTGAATGCTCAGTCCCCAGCTTGGGGACTTGGCTTTTTGAAAGCCCTGGAGCCATTAGGAGGTATGTCCTGGCTGGTGGAGGTAGGCTCCTGGGGGATGGGGCTTTTGAAGGTTATACCAGCCCTGGTGTTACCCTGCCCTTTCTCTTGGCCTATTACAATACGAGGGGTCTCTGATACATGCTCCCACCAACAAGAGCTCCACCCTGCCTTTCTCAGCTTGATGGATGAAAGTTCCTATGAAACCATGAGCCCACGCAAATCTTCTCTCCTGTGTTTCTGTCATGTATATTTTCAACATGATGAGAAAAGCTTTAAGAGGAAGAAACATCCATCTTGTGCTGCAAAGACATCCAGTGTCTTTACTTCATGTTGAAGTCTTCAGACTTCATGTTGACCATATTGCCTCTCCTTTCTTCAGCTTAATATGCCTTCCTGGGGTCCCTGATAGGTATAAGCTCCCTTTGATTTCAGGTACATTTTCTATATTGTTTTCTTACTGTCCACTATGAAATAGTCTTAAATCCCTCTTTTGCCTAGTCCGTTTCTACCTATGACACTGGCCTCACTGACTTTCAGAACAATGTAAAAAGACTCCTTATGACTGTGCTATTGAGCTCATCTGTGATATTTATTTTGTCTACTAGACCATAGGGCTCAGAAGAACAGGTAAAATGTACTGACTAGTCCTAGCATTGGCATAGTTTCTGGCACACAGTAGGCACTTTCCCATCAATATTTGTTGAGTAAGTAGTTAACAGAATCAAGATGTTGTGGTGATTACAGGAAGGAAGTTGGCACCTGACTTCTTGGATTTGAATCCCATACAGATGATTCTTCTTTGCATGACCTCCAGTAATGAATCTCTCCGGTTAGGAGCCTCTTCTAGAAGAGGATAAAAAAACATACTTCTCTCACAGTGTGGCCTCAAGGTTAAAATGGATTAAATGTGCCCCTTATTCATGTCTCTGCATGCCTAGTTTACCAGTTCACATTCTTCAATGAAGCTGGGGCTGGTATTTTCCGTGATTCTATTTCCAGGATCTCTTTCTCAATGGCTACTATTAGATCCAGCCAAGGAGACACACAGGCGGGAGCCGAGAGGCTGGAGAGGAGAGAGCTTCCGAGAGGCTGGAGAAAAGAGAGCTTCCTGTCCAGAGTGGCAGCATCAGCCACAGCTGTAGAGCATTCTCCAGCTCCAGCTAGGCCTTGCTCTGCAGAAACCTCACTTTTCTTGGTAATTCTAGCCCCAGCCAATCCCTTTCTCCCAGAGGTCTTAGTCCTAGCTACGGAGTGTTCCTACTCTGACGGTGCCCTTCTCTCCCCAGAGACCCAAGTATCAGCCATGTGTGTCCCACCCTCATCACCTGAACCCTTGTTTTCTTGTGCTTCTCCACATCCATGGCTGATGGCTGTGCCTTACAGGTACACCATCCAGGGCCATTTAGAGCCCCTTCCCCCAGGGGACCCACTCCCTGACTCCTGACAGCAATAGTAAACCAGGGAGCAAGCACACCAGGCCCACAGGAGGCTCCAGGTGGGTGTGCGACCTTGCATCTGCCCAGGCAGGTAGAGGGCCACACTCTCCTTGGAACACTGTGAAAGATCCTACGAACATAAAACTCATCAAGGGTAACTCAGTGCTGTAGTCAGAAAGCCCATCTTTTGGAGAAGCACCAGCCCACCATCATAGCTCGCTCACCCACTAGGCATGCATGACGTTCACAGCAAAGGAGGACATGACTTCTGTAGCATTAGCAATTTTTTATTTTTCCTTTTTTGTTGCATAGGAAATGCAGTACTTGCTTCCAGTAATTGTATTGTAATGTGAGAAGGTGGTAGCACTAACGGTTGAATACAAGAGTTAAACTAATCCACACCAGCTCAAAAACCCTGTGGAGATTTAGTTGATAAGAATGGACGCCCACAGTGATTCTCAACCAATTACAAGTTTTCACAGAACACAGTAAACGAAAAGGGTAACTATGAGAGTCAATACAGATATGCTAGAGGCCCGGGGCCCGGCTCATAAAAACAATTTCAGACCAAGTTATTAACACGGGGTGTTTTGTTTCACAATAGCTCTCTTTTTCCGTCATTGGAAGTTTTTAATCCTTTCCCCCACAATTTGAAATGAAAATCAGAGGCACTCTGAGCAGACTTTTTTTTTTTTTTTTTTTTTTCATGTGTGATGGGAAAGGTTAGTGGGAGGGCAAAGAAGGACTTAGCCTTGACAGTCTTCCTAAGGGGGACCTGCTGGCACTCCATGTCTAGTCTGGCTGGCATCTCAGTGGCAAGGCTGCTGAGTCCAGCAGAGAGACAGTGGCCTGAGGGAGAAGAGAGCTAGCAGCTCCCTCACACTTGCATGTGGCCTGCGACCTTTAGTTGAGAATGCTAACAGGTTAAAAAAAAAAGCCAATTTACAGATCATTACCAAGAAAAAAAAATTAAAAAAAAAAAAAAGAACATTACAAGTAACAGTCAAGGAAAAGAAAAACCAGCTTTAGGTTTTTTGAGAAGCTGAGCATCTAACAGCAGGAAGAACAGTCTATTCCTTGGACACCCCTTGTAACCACTGTAGAGACAGGAAACCTTCCATGTTAAAGTCTGTGATACTTTCTGCCAGGAACTTGCTCTAGTGTGATCAGAGGTAGCACTTCTCCTGTATACTCTTGTGGTCCAGATACATTTTATGACCCAAACAGCACAGTGAGTCCACTTGTAGGATGCCCGACACACAGAGCAGGTGTCCTCTATGCGCTATATCTCCAAGGTAGTGTTCTCCCTTTGCTGGGATCTCTTCTCCATATCTTATCCCTCTAACTTGCTTACTGGCTTAATGCAACCCTTTGGAGAATGGAAGGCAGATGGGTGCAGGTTCATGGGGGAAAAAAAGAAAACAAATATTCAATTTGGGAAGCAAGTAGCTTCAAATTTAGACCAAAAAAAAAAAAAGAGCATATTTTAAAAATCCCGTGTTAATAGCAAACTTCTTTGTTATGAATCGGGCCCAAAGTTTGTACAGAGTTATAGTTTTGAAGAAAATATTGCATCTGTGCATGTAACTAAATAGCCACGTGATTTCTTAAGTTGTTTTTTTTTTCTTTTTAATATGAGGAAGTCAGTCTGGTGTGATGTGGATCAAGCATGGGTCCACTGTCCACTAAGATGCTTCAGTGTCGCCAAGCTTCTGCTGAGGCTCAAGAAAGCGACTCTCACTTAGAAAGGATCTCCGAGTGGTTTTGCAGCAGACTTCTTGAAATTCAAATGGTAGTTTTGAAACAAAAATTCCACCAGATACTGATTTCTGAAATCAAACACCCATGCTTGTCCCTTAAGAGAAATAAAACGAAACAAAAAAACAAAACAAAAACAAAAAAATGAAAACAAAACACACGTAATACTGAATTTAAGTAAGTGTACACCTCCAAGATACTGAAGACAGCCGGAAGGAAGACAGAGTTCGCGTTCTCAGTGAAATACCTCAAACCTAGCTGACAAGAACCGAGGCAGAAAAAAAGACTAACAGAACTTTGAGTAATATTCATACAGTTCACTAAGCATTATGGAATAGCATGCATAATATTGTACGGTTATTTTACATCACCTATACCAGAGGTCCTGACTGACAGACAGCGAAGGCTACCGGTGTAGAAAAAATCTTACTTCAGAAGAGCAGTATAATACAGATTTCACAGGCACTACATTTTAATATATCAGGTATTATGCTGGTTTTCTTATAATTCTTTCTGTCCTAAAGCTGGCATTATAACAATGACCAAAAAGGCAAGGATTGAAGTAAACGGAAAGTAGATACCAAAGTTGATATAGGTTTTTTTCTTTTTCTTCTTCAGATAGATTAGTGCATAGTTCTCATGCAGATAAACACTGCTATGCATTTACACTGTTGGGAAGCAGAGTGAATTGAGCCCAAGTTGTCACATTTGTGTAAATCATTTTGTCAGCCTGTAATAGCACCATGTAATGGATTTGCATTAAACATTAAATTGATTTCAGAACTGGTGACACAGTATTCACTACAGTTAAGTGCTATGGAATAGCTTCAATATACCTGCTATATATCAAAGCAATTTTCATCCCACTGCTTTTTTTTTATTGGAAAAAATAAAGGGGGAACACACATGACACTAATTAGAAGAATGCACAGCCTTGGACGTGGAGAAGGCAGAGTAGGATTCCTGTCAAGCAGTGAGTGCATGCATTGACTTCAAGACAAAATGGCCTCGGAAGCCCGTGTAAATGAAAGCCATGCCCGAAGGGCGGAGCAGCCTCTGGGACTGTCTAGGAAGGTCTGGCGGGTAGGCTGGGAGGCACCACCAAAGCTCTCCTCAATGACCACACTTCTCGTGTTTTACACCTGTTCAATGGAGGCCTGCTACCAGAAACAAGAAAGGAGAAAGAAGCAAAGAAAAGCCAGAAAGACAGAGACACACAGAGAGAAAGAGACAGGGAGGAAAAGGATAGAGTGATAGAGACCAGGGGATGGACTCTGTTGTAAAGAATATCAAATGACATTCTTAAAAACCACTCTCCACCAAAAAAAAGAAAAAGGAAAGAAAAAATCACAGGAGAAAATGATTTTCTTTGCAAATACTTCATGACATCACCACTGTCGAGTTGTTGAAGCACATGGGGATTTGGGAAGGTGAAAGGCAAACTTTTTGAGATGGGTTTTGCATATTCCTGTGGGCTGACTGAATATAGCACAGTGTGACTAGAGATTTGGATCCTGCACACTTGGACTGTCAGGAAGGGGAAAAGGAGAGCTTGGAGAATGCAGCCTGGAGGGCCTGTGGGAGCCATGTGGGTGGTGGTGGCACTGGGTGGGGAGCGAGCTAACAGATGTCATGCCAGGGGCTGAAGAGACATACCTTAGTGGGAAGAAGAGGGCTGGAGGGGAGGAGAATGGCACCAGAGAGGCTCCTGCCCCGAGAAGTTAGAAAAAGAGCAGTGGCCAGGAGAGGGGCCGGGGCAAGCATTTATCGGCAGATGTTACGAGTTAGTATTTGTGCCTCTGACTTCAGTTCCCAAAGAAAAAATTGGGGGGAGTCATTTGAGGGACTACTTTTGCCAATTGCATTAATGCCATTTGATGGGAGAGAAAAAAAAAATCCAACATTTCTCAGAATCAAGGCTGGGCCTTCAAATGCTGATAGCTCTTGAGTCTGTCTGTCTCTACACCCTTGGAGTAAAGTCTTCCTCAAGCGCCTTCGCTCAGCTTTTAACCTAAAAATGCAAAACACGCGGATTGGTTGGTGTTTTGTCTTCCTACTTGCTGACAACCAAACTACAGTTTCCTGCGGCTTTCTTGACAATGAAGCATGGACAGAACCAGAACTCAGTGTATTTATACGTAACCCTGGTCTGCTATCACCTCACGCTGCCTCCACAATGGTTTAGAGCCTTGAAAACATTTTTTTTTTTTCCGGCAATTCTGTTCAGAGTTCCCTAATTTTAGCTTCATCAAACTTAATACAACAAAATACCTTCAAAAATACAGCACACCTGTAACGTCCATTTTGCAATGGTTTTTCAGTAGACCTACACTTCTCAAGCATAGGAATATGCTATACCATTGGCAGAAAAATAACTGTATTTAAATACTTACAAAAAAACCCCAAACAAACAAACAAAAAGGAAACAGGAAAGTTTTAAACTTAAATCCAGTTCCCAAAGTGGGTTGAAAAGAAACAAAAAGCAATTCTATGAACGCTGCCTTTATAATGAACAATCAGAAATTTCACTAGGCTAATTTGACAGAAATTTTTCCTCATTTAGACAACATTACAAAAGTCCTGCATTATAAAATAGGGTAGAATAAATCAGTGTAATCAATAAAACTATACAACGATACAAATTACATATCTTCTGAATGGGCAGCTTATTCTCTCTCTTTGCAGTCGTGACTACAACATGCTCACTAAAAACAACTAAAACTGCCCAAACTATTGCTTAGTTTGTTTTGTTTAAAAAAAGGGTGCAATTTTATTGTATATACAACCAATTTACTGGTAATACCTTGGCATTTTGCAAGGTTCTGACAAAATGTTTGTCTAGGCTTTTTTCCCTTCACTGTGAAGCACTGTAAGCTGCTATTGTTTCTTTCTTTCTCTCTCTCTCTCTCTCTCTTTTTAGTGCACATATGTCATAAGAAAGTAATGCCCAGCTAAGTGCTAGAGGGAAGGCAAAGTATGCTGCTGGCTATAGGAAGGGACACTGTACACTGACAAGCACACCGTACGTACAACAGCGTCAAGCGACTATTCAACCACTTATCAGACACATATGAAAATCCAAAATGTTTTATTTTATTTTTTTTCCTTAAATAGAGATAACCAGTAAACAATTTTCAGAACTTGGAAGTTTAAAAACGTGCATATAAAAATGGGCATTATGTACTTTTTATTGAATGTGGATTGACTGCTGTCTGCTAAGAAAAGTGGGTGTGGGGGCTGAAGAGAAAGGAAGTCGTCTTTTTTTTTTTTTTTTTTAAGGCTTGCTTGTGAAAGGAACAGTTGTAAAAACAAAATTGCTTGAAGCAGGGTCAGCTTAGTGCTTCACAGTTTGACTGCTTCTCTAAGAGGAGCCCTTCTGCGCACGTGCATCAAAAACCACAGAAAATACAAAGACAGACACCTAAAAACACACTGACTGCGTCAAGTGCAGCACTGACTTTGGTCAAATAAAAAAAAAAGGAAAATTAATAACTGCTAAGCTTTTCTACATGATATAAGCAGGTATTGCATATTTTCATATATCTGGGGGAAAATAAAGGAAGACTCCAAATAAATTGAAAAATGCAGCAACATCCCAAATACTGATATTGTAAGCATCTACAGAGCTCAGGTTAGCACTGCCACTGACCACACAGGACAATCAAAACTACGCCTGTCTGCGGAACAGCTAACTTTCTAGTTAGATCTAGATGTTGAAACTGACGATGGCTGACATAAAAGTTACATTTACAAAAAGTGTCTCCGAATGCTTGAGTAGGGAAAAACCCCTTCAATAGAGGAGCATGTGCAACAATTCCACAAATAATCACTATCCAGGGCAAGGCACATTGATATGGAATTTTTGTTTTCGTGCAAATTAAGGAAAAAAATAAAAACAAAACAACATCGTTTGGGGGTAAAGATGAGGAGCAAAGTGTCTTCCCAAGAATTTCAGTTACTTGATTGTATAGGACAGTAGTTGAGCCCTTCTGAAGGGCTGAGACAGTTTAAAGGCAGGTGCCTAGAGTGGGTTACAATATTGTCTTAATGCACTCTACTTTATCCTACATTAGCTATATAAAAATTAGTTACTAACACTAGAACATGCAGAGACTTCCTCTGGTCGGCAGGACCTGCCAACCAGAACACATATATATGTATAGTATAGGAACCCTTGAAGTTGCGTGGGAAGCAAGGAGGTGCTTCGCTGTCTGGTAGAAAAATCACTTGCATTTTTTTTTGTTTGTTTGTTTCTGCTTTTTTATTTTTTTGTTCTTTTTTGATCTTTTTTGTCTTTTTTTTTTTTTTTAACATAAGATACAAGACATTTGAGGGGGTGTGTGTGTGTGAACTTTTTTTTTCGTTTTCCCTAACGAGTACCCTTGGTCTGAATGGGTACCAGCAGTTGTGTTCCTATCTGAGTTGTTAGTATTAATTTTCCCATAGCCCAGTTCAGGGTCTGCAAAGGGTCTTTGAAACTTCTGGACAATGTCTGGTACAATGAGGCGTTTGATAACTGATAGATCTGGTGTTGCCATACACATGTAAAAATTTCCAGAATTGGCATCATTCATTCTAGTGATTTCTAGCTTATAAAATTAACAGATACCATGATTTCGTTTGAGTTATGTGCTTTGATAACAGAAAATAATTAATTAGCATTTAATGTAGTTAACATATTGTGGTAAAAGCACCATTAGATTTGTGTTTTTTTTTTTTTTAATTTTCCTTCAGTTTTTTTTAAAGGGATACAAGTTTAACAATAAAAAACATAAAAAGCAAAAATAGCTCCCCTTTTTCTTGCAAGGCTGTTTTTTACCCCAATAATTTAGAGTCCTGGGGTGGAAGGACTTGAAAAACAAAAATAGAATTTTCAACAATCTCTATCTTACAAAGATACTTAGCTATCCAATGAAATTGCACTTCACTCAAATCAAAATTCGATTGTTTTGATTCCTGTCAGTTTCTGTCAAAACAGACCATCTTCCCCATTTCCATGTGAATTTTTGTGTCATTGTTGAAATTGTTGAAAAATGTTTTTTTTTTCTATGTAAGTGCAGCATTTCAAAACTTAAAAAAAACAACAACAACAAAAGGAACTGATAGTAGTAGTCTTTGCCGTCCTTTTGGAATTGTTCTGCAACATGAGTGGGTCCACTGTCCTTGAGGGCTGTGTTGTGTATGTGACTGCTCACTGCTGAACCAAACCAAACGAAAAGAAAGATCAACGCAACTGCATTTTCTTTTTCTAATATGTTACAGAAAAAAAAAAGAAAGAAAAAAAAAAAAACCAAACTGCCCTTTGAGTGTCCTGTAAGTTACAGATCACGGATCTCAGCTACTACAAAAGACTTCGTTCCCCAGGTGCCTCCAAATGCTCAGGGAGGGGCACACCTGTGTGAGCAAATTCATGAAATACTGTGAAAAGGCCAGGCTCGCAAGGGAAGTGTGTTACAACGGGAAGTTAGTGAGCAAGGCTCATCCTCTACCAGCCACTTCACCTAATGCTCACACCACCACCAAAACACTTCAAATGTCACACAGCCCAACCATTTCCAGCACCATATGAGAAATTACGACAGTCCCTAAAGTATTAAAAAAAAAAAAAAATCCCGAAAGGCTATGGCCTTTGCTGTTTGACCATGATGCTTGCTGTTTCCATGTACAGGTTGATTCGAGTCGGTTTCTCTCCCCTTCCACTGACAGTGAAGTTGTAACTGCGCCGGGGTGAGCTTGCGTCCATGTTACAGAGTAGAGAAGGGGTCAGGTGGTCTGTCTGGTGGATGGTGGGACGCTGCAACTTTTATCCCAGGTACCAGGACTAGAAGACAAAAAGAAACATATAATTAGAAGTGTGGGTGAAGTGCTGGGGTTCGGCTCAGGGGTGGGTAGCACTTGCCTCGTGTGAGCAAAGCCCACAGTGATCCTTGGTGCACAAACACAAAAAAACATTTTTTTTGTTTGTTTGTTTAAAGTTGCTCTTTTAACCATGTGCTCAGAATTGACCTTGGAGGTTTACGTGAACGAGGAATGACAGACGACAGCAAATCCCAAGCCACCGAAATTTATCTTACTCCTATGACATTACAATTCATTGTCTTTGCTGGGGTCTGCCACTGTTTTGAGCCTATCTTACCAAGTGAAGCTTTTCTGGCCACATGACATCACATCAGGTTTTGTAACCTAGCAGTGAACAGACAAGAGGGCAAGGGATCTGGCTCTCTTATGAGTACCTACCTCAGTGACTGGGCGGGCTCAAGAAAGAGAAGCAAATTGGATAGAACGTGGCTGAAGGGGGAGGTTAGGGGCTGTAGAGAATAGTTATTTCTGTGACATATTTTTCAGTGAGGTGTAGGTACTCAAGACAAGTGCTAAACATATGAACACAAGATTCTGTGAACACACCAGGTGGCTGATGGTGGGCAGCCAAAACAGAAAGGGCCGCTGGGAAACACCGGATTGGTGACCCGGGGGATGGGAAAGCCAGAGTGATCCTCTCCACTTCTCTTCCTTACTTCCTTACGCTCAGGAGGAAGAGTTTTTGGTGCAAACTCCTCTTCCTTTCAGCTGAACACACCTAATTTTATGTTCTTCTCTTCGAAGAGACATATAATAAATATGATGACACCTTACGCAGCACCATCCATCTCAAGGAGAAGATGAGGCCATTGCTTAGTCCTCATCCATGTTTCTGCCCACTCAACGTGCCCTTGCAGCTGTCTCTCGGCTTGTGGACCCCGTCTTCTGTCCCTTCCGTAAATATCCCGGGGACCACCTTCATGTCTGCTGGCATTTCTTTGTCAACAAAGTCAGGTGAACAAAACGACCACCCATCGACCGATATCAAAATCAGTTTCTCAAGTGAGGTTAAACAGTGTATGACTTTTGCCAGCTTTCCTCTAAGTACCCTGAAAAATTCACTACTTTTCTTGGGAGTCGGAAAAGCCACCAGCTCCAAGGCAAAGCTAACAGCCACGAGTTCGGGGTTACGTCAGCACTGGTTCCGGAGGGCTAAGGCTCGCTCTTGTCAGGGAAAGTCGGGACTCCTTTGATCCCTGGGATAAATGGCTAACTGATAGCTCCATGGAGGTTGGTGTAAGATTTCCCGGCCACAACAAGCTACCTTTGATTTCCAAAGGAGTTTAAAAAAAAAACAACAAAAAACAAAACAAACAAACAAAAAAAACACAAGACAAAACAACAAAACCAAAACAAAACAAAACAAAAAACCCAAAAAACAACAACAAAAACCAAAAGCCTCCTAAGCTCAAACCACAAAACTACCCATCCTGTAGACACGTAGCTGTTCCTCTCTGACCGTGGGCTTTGGGGAACACAATAAAGCTGCTTATATCTGGAAAGGAAATCACCCTGGCTAGCGCACATGGCCTGCATCTAAGTGGACAAAAGAAAGATGAGTGAGAAGAAAGAAAGGGAAGCGGGCCCCAAACTGGATCTGTTCTAAGTCCTTCCTTAAAGCTGACACAGATCCCTTCCCACATTCTTTCTTTCTTATACACAACAGTCTCAGACTGAGTGGCCGGTGCTGTCCTCAATCTGTTTGCAGGCTAGAAAGCCTTCGTGAAATTCCGGACCCCTTCAGTGTGCCAGTCCGTCAGTACCTCTTGAAGCAAAGGCCTGGGACCTGGCGAGTCAGCAGGGGGAGCAGTTTCCCGTCCCACTGTTGCTGGACCCGGGACACTACAAAACCCAGCAGTGCCCCGTACTTCTGTTAAAAAGCAAAGCAAAGCAAAAGAAAAAAAAAAAGTTTCTTCACACATCTTACTATTCAGTGTGCCTCGCCCACAAGGTTACCCCAGAGCGGCTCTGTAACCCTTCACTGAAATAGGCTTTATTGATTGCTCTGGTCTATTGTTCTCTTTTCAAGTCCCCCAAGTTCAAGTTCATCCTGGTGTTACATCATGTCTGGTTGCTCTTAGCAACCAGACAGACCCAGACGTGACTATCATTAGCAAGAAACCCTCTGCTCTCCTCCCACCAACCTTCCAGTGGTTCTGACGTAGAGGACCCACTGCAAACACACTGAAGTATTTATTCTGCCTAATTTATGACCTGCCCAGCCAGCTAGACCCCCACTCCAAAAACCAACACTGTTGTGTATTTAATTAATCTGTCTTTCTTTGGCATTTGAGAAAGTTAGACAAAGGACTAATTATTGTGTTTCCCTCTCCACACTTTTCTTTTGGGGGGTGAATATTTGCATGGGAAAGAAAACTATGAGGCCCGCCATTGGCCCCTCCCCTTTCTCTTTTTGCCCTATTGACATTTCATGAAATACTTTAGCTGCTTAACGGAGTTAGAAGGGGGAAAAAAAAACCTGCGCTGTGAATGTTACTCCTTCTGAGTTGGTATTCAGTAACACAAATCAACTCATGACATGTTTAAATTTAAATGCTAACCACACACTCTCCGAGTTACTTTAAAGGTTAGTTTTTAATCAATAGAAGTTGCTGACTCTGGGTTTCTGAGCTGCACACTGCAACTCTCCGGCTTTTGTCTAATGTTAAAGCTTGGGAACTTTTTTTTTTCCTTGAGATGATTTTAGCAATGATTTGCAGACACAGAGGCTATTGTGCTCCTACCAGCAACACGTCAATAGAGGAGCCGAGCAGCCCTGTGGTGGGGTGTCAATATGACTCCTAAGGCAGGAGTTGGGGGTCTTTAATAACCCGTGAAAAAAACCTTAATTAACCCTTTCAGGTCTAAACCAAAACCTATTCTTCCACTTTTCACTCCTGTAATTTGACCATTAGTACTTATTTCAACATCACACTAATCTTCATGACAATTAACCCAGCTACTTGACCAAGGGCTTCCAGAATGGGAAGTCAGTTAGGGGAACCACACACGAACTTTTTTTTTCTCCTTTTCCTTTTTTTTGTTTTTTTGAATGAGGTTTCTTAGTAAACACTCTGCAGAAACATAGCAGAGAAACAGTTGTAACAATAAGAAATTCATCCATTTTGCCAATTTTTCTATCCATCAGTTTGTAGTTGAGGATACTGCTAATGGTGATGGGTATGCAGTCACCCCTAGAGAGGTGTCCCTGGATTTCTATAAACTTCCATGAACAGCTAATCACATCAGATGGATAAGGTAAGACCAGGAAAGGCCACTTTTCTTAGGACATTTTCCTTCAATTTCTGCTATTTGAAAACGTTGCAAGTTTGAGAATGCTCACTAAAGAATGACTCTGCACCTTCCTTCTTGGGACAGAAAAAAAAAAATAGAGAAGAAATCTGAAACTGGTAAATTCTTGGGTTGAATCAAATCATTGGGAAAATACTGGCACATGAAACAAAATTCATCGGTGGAGAGTCAAAAAAAATCATCTGACATCCGCTTGGGTTTCATATGGCTTCTGCCTTCATACTTTATAGTCCCTTAATCTGCCCTACTGTATCCAGGCGACTACAAAGGAGTCTCTGTCCCTTATCTGCAGTGAGTGGCAATATTATAGTACAGCATCGGAGGATGTTATCTTGATACATTTACATTGAGGAAGTAAACACTGAGCTTTGATCTATTTTTTTTCTGCAAGAACATTCAACTACAGTTGATTTGGTGGCCCATAAATCCACACTCCCACAGAGGCTCTGGTTTCAGAAAATTAGCCAGTTACATTCGCAATGTCCACAGTGTGGGGTGTACCAGGGGTGGGAGGGAACCTGTCCTCTTTCAGTGTTCAAGGTGAAACATCAAAAGAAATCTGCAGTCCAAGACAAGAGCTCAGCTTTCCTCCTAGCCGGTCAGATGGAGAAGTAATCTCATCAGGTTGGAAAGTGCTGACTCAGTATTTAATAAAGTGCCTGCAGATGTGGCGTCTCTAAGGTATTCAACTCATGTAATGCAAAACAGCTCTGCGCTGAAACGTGCTTATAAAATTTCATTTAACCATTGCAGCCCAGTTCTCCGAGGAGTTTTATCACACGTCCCACCCCTTAATTTACAGCTCCATGAAAGTTCCAGTCCCATTCTGTGGGGATTCTGGAATGCTCACAGTAGTCAGGATTTACGAACCATAACCAGCCTCCATCCCACTGCATCCTAAACAAGAGGGCTGAGATGGCAGCCGGCACTGTGACAGTGGCCGTCTGCTGCTTCTCCTGGGCCTCCTTGTGAGCAACTACAAAATGGAGTTGGTCCTGAGTCTGCTGAAGATGGGGGACAAGGCCAAGCTTGGGACTCGGCTCCTTGTCAACAACCCAGTCTTCTACCACATACAGCTTCCAGAGCCTTTTTACAGTCTCTCTCGCTACTCGGAGGGCCGGGCATACATTTAAAAAACAAAAAGGAAATAGGTCTGAGATAGTTATATTTCACTTGGTGGCGGGGTGGGGGTGGGGGAGAGGGTGCCGTGGAGGGCAGGACAGACTGTGACGGCAGAATCTGTTTTTCAAATTAAAAAGTTAAACAAAAGGCCTCAAGGGCAAAGTTTAACGCTGAACGGAAGGAGGTTGTTAATGTGGAATCCAGAACTGGGTGTGACACTTAGCTTTCTTCTCCAGGCAAGGTGGGTTATTTAAGGACATTTACACACATAAACGGAAACACCAATATACAGGAAGCTCCCCCACTCCAACACATCACTCCCTACCAGCCCCACCAGGGACACAGCAAGCGGATCTGCTTGAACGCAGCTACCATTTTGTCCCTTGTGGTGGTGATGCTACCTCTCCAGGACCGCACTAATCCAGCCAGTCATTTTTGGCTTCCTGTTCTTGTTTGCATGAACTAAGCCTACTATTTAGCACAAGTGAGTTGTCCTCGGCAAATTAGCCAAAAGTCTGGGGGGCCCAC